CTATCCAGGACCCCCTCCCCTCCTGATTCGAGGAGGGGCTCCGGTATTGTTCCCACCTCCCGCCTGGGGTCGGGAGTTCAGGAGGCCCTGTCCTCAAGAGGGGGATCTAGGGGGTCCCTCTTCCCCCAGGACCCTAGGAAGGGTACCAGCGATTGTCCCCCTCCCCCTCCAGTCTTGGGGTCTGGAGTTCTGGAAGCTCCTTCCCCTGGAGGTGATCCAGGGGGTCCACCTGCCCTCACCCCTGGGAACTCAGGAAAGACTTCAGTGATTTCTCCTCCCACCTTCCAGCTAAGAGATGGGAATTGAGGGGACCCCTTCCCCTGGAGGTAATCTAAGAGTTCCTCTGTCCCCGCAGGAATGCAGGAGGGGTCCCAGGTATTGTTTCCCCTGCTCTCCAACTACGGGTCTGGGTTGAGGACCCCCTGTCCAGGAACTCGGCTCTGTTTGCCTGCACACTCCCAGCTATGGGGTTGTGGCTCAGTGTATTCCCCTCCCCAGAAGGGGAGCCACAGGTCCCCCCCACACCTTCTCCTAGGAGCAGATCATTCATTGTTGGCACCTCAACACCCAGCCATGGGTGGGGAGCTCAAGGCCTCCCCACCCCAGGCAGGTCATCCTGGGCTCCCCTTGCTCCCCAGAAGTGGTTCCAGCTTTTGTTCCTCTACCTCCCAGCCTGCCCCCAGTCACAACCTGGGAGTTCAGTTCAGGATCCTTCCTGCAGGAAGGGCCACAAGTGTGCTGACACTACCCGCCACGTCCCAGCCATGGGAGGAGATGGCTCAGGCGTTTCCCCAGTAACTTCAGAGGGTCCCCAGGTATTATTCGTGCCCATCCTCCAGCTAGAAGTTAAAATTCAGGACCTTCCAGCCAATAGTGAAAACAGGTATACTGGCCGGGCATGGTGGCTCATGCCTGTAATCACCATATTTTGGGAGGCTGAGGCGGGAGGATCACTTGAACCCAGGAGTTTGAGTCCAGCCTGGGTACCACACCAGGACCCCATCTCAAACATAAATAAATAAATAAAACAGGCATACTAACAACTGTCCCCACCCTCCTGCCTATGGGGTCCATGAGTCTCCGTGCCCACCCCTCCTCACCAGGAGGGGTCCCAAATATCACTCTACCGGGCTCACCATCTGGCTGTAGGAAAGGGCATTCCCGATCTGTCTAAGAGAGAGGATTTGACACTGACTCCCACCTGGCGCTGTGAGCTCTGGAATGCAGGTTTTCTTCTCCCCAGAAGGCAAGCCAGGGTCTTCTTGTCTTTCGCCAGTGACTTGGGAGGGATGCCAGACGTTATTTGTTGCACATTCTTATCCCCCAGACATGGGTTCTAGAGCTCAGAATGCTGCTGCTGGAGGGGGGGCCTCCCCTACCAGAACTCCCCCCGATAAATTAAGCTGCCACCCCCAAGTATAGGACAAGAATTCAGCCATGTGCTCAGGAGCACAGGAACGCTGACACCCACACTGTTCCCCATGTGGTGACCTCCAGCAAGGTGGTAGGAACCCAGGACTGTCTCCTCCACAGGACCCCAGCTTCCCACAAGAGGAGCCCAGGGTGGAGAGAGGGGCAGAGCCATGGAGTTGGGGACTAGAAACCTCTAGTGCCGGGTCTCATGACCTCTGTCCAGGTTCGGGGCTGAAAGGGGAGGGTCCTACCATGTCCCACCATGTCCCACCCAGGTCCCTCAACTCCCTGCCCTGGCTGGGGTAAGTCAGAAATCTCCCTGCAGTCAGAGACAAGGGAAACATCCACGTGTATGCTCAGAAGTGAGTGGGGTTTGACCAGGCACAGTGGCTCATGCCTGTAATCCCAGCATTTTCTGAGGCCGAGGTCAGAGGTTTGCTTGAGTCCAGGAGTTTGAAACCAGCCTGGGCAACATAACGACACCCCATCTCAAAAAAGAGAGAGAGTGAGAAAGGAAGGAATGAAGGAAGGAAGGAGAGAGGGAAGGAAGGAAGGACAGAGGGAAGGAAGGAAGGAGAGAGGGAAGGAAGGAAGGAGAGAGGGAAGGAAGGAAGGAGAGAGGGAAAGAAGGAAGGAAGAAAGGAGAGAAAGAAAGAGAAAGGAAAGAAAGAAAGAAAGGAAAGAAAGAAAGAGAAAGAAAGAAAGAAAGAAAGAAAGAAAGAAAGAAAGAAAGAAAGAAAGAGAGAGAGAGAAAGAGAGAAAGAAAGAATTGAGGTTAGTTGAGTGTGGTGTATCTGTAATTCCAGCTACTTGGGAGGCCCAGGTGGGAGGATCGCTTGAGCCCGGGATTTCCAGTCTGCAGTGAGCTATGATCACATCACTGCACTCTAGCCTAGGTGACAGAGTGAGACCCCATCTCAAACAAATAAAAATAAAGAAGTGAGGCTGGGCGCGGTGGCTCACGCCCGTAATCCCAGCACTTTGGGAGACTGAAGGGGTGGATCACCTGAGGTCAGGAGTTTGAGACCAGCCTGGCCAACATGGTGAAATCCTGTCTCTACTAAAAATGCAAAAATTAGCCAGGTGTGGTGGCGAACGCCTGTAATCCCAGCTACTCCGGAGGCTAAGGCAGGAGAGTTGTTTGAAACTGGGAGGCAGAGGTTGCAGTGAGCCGAGATCCTGCCATTGCACTCCAGCCCTAGGGACACAAAAAGACCCCATCTCAAAAAAAAAAAAAAAAAAAAAAAAAGTGGGTTCTGAGGGCACAACCGGGTCCCCTTTCTCATCCCTAACCAGACTCCAAAAGACACCCCCGCTCCCCTAGAACCCACCTACCCTCTACCCTCTATTCTTGCCCTTGCAGGTCCTGCCCCAGAAGCTGCCGGCACATCCACGCCTGAAATGCGGCGCTCAGTCCTGGTCAGGAACCCAGGCCACAAAGGCCTGAGACCCGTTTATGAAGAGCTTGACTCTGATTCCGAGGACCTAGACCCCAATCCTGAAGATCTGGACCCGGTTTCTGAAGACCCAGAGCCTGATCCTGAAGACCTCAACACTGTCCCGGAAGACGTGGACCCCAGCTATGAAGATCTGGAGCCCGTCTCGGAGGATCTGGACCCCGACGCCGAAGCTCCAGGCTCGGAACCCCAAGATCCCGACCCCATGTCTTCGAGTTTCGACCTCGATCCAGATGTGATTGGCCCCGTACCCCTGATTCTCGATCCTAACAGCGACACCCTCAGCCCCGGCGATCCAAACGTGGACCCCATCTCCCCTGGCCTCACTGCCACCCCCCAGGTCTTGGCCACCAGCCCCGCGGTGCTCCCCGCCCCCGCCAGCCCGCCCCGGCCCTTCTCCTGCCCGGATTGCGGGCGAGCCTTCCGCCGCAGCTCCGGGCTGAGCCAGCATCGCCGCACCCACAGCGGTGAGAAGCCGTACCGCTGCCCCGACTGCGGGAAGTCCTTCAGCCACGGTGCCACCCTGGCGCAGCACCGTGGCATCCACACCGGGGCGCGGCCGTACCAGTGCGCGGCCTGCGGCAAGGCCTTCGGCTGGCGCTCCACGCTGCTGAAACATCGCAGCAGCCACAGCGGGGAGAAGCCGCACCACTGCCCGGTGTGTGGCAAGGCCTTCGGGCACGGCTCGCTCCTGGCGCAGCACCTGCGCACGCACGGCGGCCCGAGGCCCCACAAGTGCCCGGTGTGCGCCAAGGGCTTCGGCCAGGGCTCTGCGCTCCTCAAACACCTGCGCACGCACACGGGCGAGCGGCCCTACCCGTGTCCGCAGTGCGGCAAGGCCTTCGGGCAGAGCTCGGCGCTGCTGCAGCACCAGCGCACACACACGGCCGAACGCCCCTACCGCTGCCCCCACTGCGGCAAAGCCTTCGGGCAGAGCTCCAACTTGCAACACCACCTGCGCATCCACACGGGCGAGCGGCCCTACGCCTGCCCGCACTGCTCCAAGGCCTTCGGGCAGAGCTCAGCGCTGCTCCAGCACCTGCACGTGCATTCGGGCGAGCGTCCCTATCGCTGTCAGCTCTGCGGGAAGGCCTTTGGCCAGGCCTCCAGCCTCACCAAGCACAAACGGGTGCATGAGGGTGCAGCCGCTGCTGCAGCTGCCGCGGCTGCCGCAGCTGCAGCAGCGGCCGCTGGCCTGGGCCTAGGGCCTGGCCTAAGCCCTGCATCCATGATGAGGCCGGGGCAGGTCTCCCTCCTGGGTTCTGATGCTGTTTCTGTGCTTGGCTCTGGCTTGGGCCTCAGCTCTGGCACCAGCTCTGGCCGTAGCCCTGACCCTGGCTCTGGGCCGGGCACTCTGCTGGATCCCAGCTCCAGACCCCTCCCCGGCTCCAGATCCACCCCCAGCCCTACTCCTGTGGAATCTTCTGACCCGAAGGCTGGGCACGACGCTGGTCCTGACCTTGTGCCCAGCCCAGACCCTGATCCTGCGCCCAGCCCAGACCCTGATCCTGTGCCCAGCCCTGATCCCAACCCTGTGTCCCACCCTGACCCCTGCTCTCCCACTGGTGACACTGTCAGCCCAGCCCTCCCTACCGGCGAGAGTCCAGAGTGGGTACAGGAGCAAGGGGCACTGCTGGGGCCTGATGGCTGAAGGGGACTCGGGCATCCTCGGGGGCCTGGGGAAGTTGTGTGTTGTGCAGTTAGTAAAATCCTCCCACTGCCTCCGGCTTCTGTGTCGTGGCTTGCCTTTTGTGCTTTCTGAGCACAGCCCCTTGCTCCAGAGATGGGACAGTGTGGCCAGGGCCAGCCACGATCTGGAGCTCCAGTGTCCTGGCTTCCTTCTTAGGCCCTGGAGTCCCACCAGCTAGACTTTCCAGTTTAACCCACAATGCCTCACCCTGGTCCATCCCACTAGTCACCACTCTTTGTTCCCCTCACCCCTTGCTCTTCAAAGCCCACACAGTAGGCACACAAGTGGACAAAAAGAGGCTGCTCATGTATGCAATCAACAAACATCTCTGGATTGCTGGGGTCTCTGCAGGAAGCAGAAAAACAGGTTGCTCATTTATGCAATCAACAAACATCTCTGGATTGCTGGGGTCTCAGCAGGGAACAAGATAAGTATGGCCTCGACCTGCACGGAGCTCGCAGATATTAAATCCAGAATACTTAAAAAATAATTACAGGGTATGGTATATTCTAGGAGAAGCATAACAAGACTTCTGATATAAATGGTAGGCAGTTTTCTCAATGAAGGATTTTATAATCCCAATAATCACTAACTTAATAATCAGTACTGTTTGCCCAGCCTTATGCAATAGCTTTTGCATTCTCTCATTTAATCTTCTCAACAGTCCCAGGAGGTAGACGACTTTGATTGAATCTCCGCATTTTGCAAATGAGAAAATTGAGGCACATATGTATATATTTTTTGTTTGTTTTGTTTTGTTTTAGACAGTCTTGCTCTGTTGCCCAGGCTGGAGTGCAGTGGTGTGGTCATAGTCACTGCAACCTCGACCTCCTGGGCTCAAGCGATCCTCCCACCTTAGCCTCCTGAGTAGCTGGGATTGCAGGTGCATGCCACCACCCACTGCGCTCAGCTTGGAGTTGAAGGGACTTTGGAAGATGTAGAAGTGGCATTTGTCAGTGCCTAGATTTAAATCCCAATTGCCCTCCAGAGTCCAAATTCTTAACCATTACGCTCCAGGGCAAAAGTTTGCAAAGGCTCTGGGACTATAGAAAGATGAGCTTTGGGTGGAGGTAGGGGCCAAATCAGAGGGCCCTGATAGACGAGAGTGGGGACTCTGCCTGTCAGTCCAGAGCAATGGGAAGCCGAGGGCAGGTTCTCGCAGGACGGATAGGCAGTATTCTTTGAAGATGCTTGTGGCTGCTGGGTCGAGAGTGGAGTGGAGGGAGGCTGAGATCGGGGAGGAGGTTGCTGCAAAGATCCAGGCCAGGAATGTTGGAAGACTCTGGGCTGGGGGCCATAGGGGTGGGGATAAGTGGTTCTATTTGATACATAATTAGGAAATCGTGTTTGCTGAACATCCGCAGAAGGGTAAAAGGAGTTTCTGGGAGAAAGAAAGACAGCGTTGAGATAGTACGCAGGGTCATCACCAGGCACCAACGAGGATAAGGGGTCAAGCTCTGGACATGGAAGTCACGAGCCTGGCACCGGATTCGGGGCACGGCCGGGAGCCAGGGCGGAGCTCGTCGCTGCCAAGCTCAGAGTCAGCCCATCCCCCGCCACCCAGAGCACGTCGGCGCTAGGACCTGGCGACTGCCTTCGACCCAGAGGGCGCCGGTCGAGGCACGCATGCGCGCTGTTCCGGCAGGCGTTGTCGTGGCGCAGGGGGCGGGACCAGAGGCGGTCACGTGAGGGGCTCTGGGCTACCGGGTCACGTGACCGAGGCACCGATCAGCTGATGCCGGAGGGTTTGAAGCCGCGCCGCGAGGGAGCCAGGTCGCAGTGACAGCGGCGGGTGATCGGACCCAGGCTGCCCCGCGGTACCCGCCTGCGTCGTGCGCGCCCGCCCCAGCATGACAGACCCGGCGGGTCCGCGCGGCTCAGGTGAGGGCGCGGGCGGCACCGTGGGGCCCGGAACTCAGGCGGGCGGGCTGCTTCTCCGACCTGGGGCGGCGGAGCTCCCAGTCTCTTTTTTTCTAAGCTCCAGCGCTGACTTTTCAGCCTCCCCACGGTGGAGAAATGGGCAGACGGCTCCTAGAACTTGGGCGGCGGGTGGGCGGGCACCAGCCTCTCCGATTCTCCCTCCTGAAGCCAGGCTCTGCTGGGTTCCCAAACTCAAGCAGCGATCGCGCCGGGCCGCCAGCTTCTCCCTTTGGGGCGGCGAGGTTCCTGGGATTTCCACTGGGAGCCTAGGTTCCGATTGCTCAACTTCGGCTGGAACTCAGACAGCGGGCACCAGCTTCTCCAACCCGCGCGTGAGACTCCCAGGCTTCCCCTCCTGATTCCAGGAGACAAATGCTCAGCTTACCTAAACTCAAGCGGGGAGAGCTGGAGGGATTGCCCCCAGGAGATTAACTCAGTTTTAGCTTTGCAAACCGGGGGAAGCGCAGCCTTCTTAAATTCGGGCTTCCAGCCAATTCTGATGCCACCCCTCCTCGGGGAGGCTAGAGGAAGACCCCTTGTGTTAGCTTCCCCTTCTGGAGCTAGCTGGGGACCCCTACCTGATAGGTGTCCCGGTGTCCCAGCTAGTAGGGTCTGGGGTGGGTTAGCTGTAATCTCAGCTCTGTAGGCGGGCCCTGCTCTCTGACTTTGTGGTAAACAGCCACAGCAGCATCCCATTACAAAGGGAGGGGCCGGGAACTTGTCCCTCTCTGCATGGGAGGTTCTGACAGTGCACACATTTATCCTGACAGCTTTGCTAGGCAGGGGGCCAGGCCCTAGAAAGCACATCCCCATGGGGGTGTGACAGGGACAGTTCTGGGCTACTGTGACCGGTTTTGACTCCAGCAGTTGCTGAAACCTTAGATCTCACAGTTAGGCTGGAAAAAAAATAAAATAGTGATTAGAACAGCTTGTGTTTGCGGAAGAGGTCTTTATCTGCTGTGTCTCACTGAATTCTCAGAGCAGCTTCAGGATCTCAACCTCAGGGCTCAGGGGGAGGGTGGACTTTTTTTTGAGACTTTTTTTTTGTTGTTACCCGGGCTGTAGTGCAGTGGCATAATCCTAGCTCATTGTAACATTGAACTCCTGGGTTCAAGTGACCTCCCAACTCAGCCTCCCAGGTAGAAGGAGTCCCAGCTACTAACTACGGGCATGAGCCGTCACCACACCTGACTATTTAAAATTTTTTTTTTTTTTTTTTTGTAGAGAGGGAGGTCTCGCTGTATAACCTAGGCTGGTCTCAAACTCTGGGCTCAAGCAATCATCCCACCTTGGCCTCCCAAAGCCATTGGGATAACAGGATGAGCCACTGAGCCCAGCCAAGGGGTAGCCTTTATAAAATTTCCACTCTTCAGATGAGGAGATGGAGGCTCAGGGAGGTACCTGGAGTCACCCTACTGGAAAGTGGCAGGTCTAGGATTTGATGCTAGGGCTGCATGATTTCCAGGAGCTGGTGCTTTTCAGGGAGATAAAATGAGTCTTTAGCAAATGTGTTCCATTATTATTACTTTACATTGTCAATTACCCCTTCTCCAGGTCTTTGGCTTCTGAGAGTGTCAGCTGATGGGCCAGGTTATAATGAACCCAGAGGTCATCTTTTGGGTATCTGTCCAGACAAACCTAGAACACAGGCTGAGTTCTATGCTCATGTCCGGAACCTGGAGCTGGGATGAGCCCAGGAGCCTTGGATGCCCAGTGAAAAGCCGGTGGGAGCAGTTCATTCTCTCCCGACAGATCAGTAACGAGAACATTGATGAAACGTTCTGATGTTCACCATGGACCGGCCCCTGTGATCAATGCTTCATAAGCATCCAGTCCTTAGCGTTCCCATGAGACATGATTACTGGCCCATTTTGCAGATGAGGAAACTGAGACTCAGAGAGCTGGTGAGCAGGAGGGGCAGGAATCAGCCCAGGCCCTGTACCTCCTGAACCCCAGCTCATAACCTCTGAGCAGGACTGGTGCATAGATACAGACAACGTTACAGGTTTTCTGGTTTTCTTTAGACCTCTCAGAACTCTTCCTTGGCAGGAGCATGGGGACATGAAGATAGGGTGTGTGCTGCCTTCCTGGTTGGATAAAGGGGAAAAGGGGAGTTGCCCAGCCCTCACCCCAGCACCCTCTCCTATTCCCACAGAGACCGAGCGGCTTCTGACCCCCAACCCCGGGTATGGGACCCAGGTGGGGCCTTCGCCGGCCCCTCCGACACCCCCGGAAGAGGAAGACCTTCGCCGTCGTCTCAAATACTTTTTCATGAGTCCCTGCGACAAGTTTCGAGCCAAGGGCCGCAAGCCCTGCAAGCTGATGCTGCAGGTGGTCAAGATCCTGGTGGTCACGGTGCAGGTGAGGACAGCCAAGCGGGGGCCCCAGCCGAAGGCCACCTGTGGCTGCTGTGCTCCTTGGAGAAGAGTCTTAAAGCAGCACTTTGGGAGGCTGAGGCCGGTAATCACTTGAGGCTGGGAGTTCAAGACCAGTCTGGCCAGCATGATGAAACCCCATCTCTACTAAAAATACAAAAAAAATTAGCCATGCATGGTGGCAGGTGCCTGTAATCCCAGCTACTTGGGAGGCCGAGGCAGGAGAATCGCTTGAACTGGGAGGTAGAGGTTGCCGTGAGCTGAAATCGTGCCACTGCACTCCAGCCTGGGCAACAGAGCAAGACTCTGTCTCAAAAAAAAAAAAAAAAAAGCTACCTCTGAGGCTCAGAGAGGTTAAGAGACTTGTCCAAAGTCACACAGCAACAGAACATTGGCAGCTGGGATTTGAACCCAGGCAGTCTGACACCATGTTGACCCACTGGCTGCACAGACAGTTGGCTCTCCCTTCCCCATGCCAGACCCTGTGCTGGGCTCTGGGAGCCCCAAGATGAATCAGACCCAGCCACTGCTCTAAGTGCTTGCTTCATGTCTTGGGCTGACTTTAGCGTGTCACCATGCCTCTAATTTTCCCTCAGAAAAGGGACCCAATTGGCCAGGCATGGTGGCTCATGCCTATAATCCCAGCACTTTGGGAGGCTGAGGTGGACGGATCATTTGAGGCCAGGAGTTTCAGACAGCCTGGCCAACATTGCAAAGCCCCGTCTCTACTGCAAATACAAAAATTAGCTGGGTGTGATGGCAGGTGCCTGTAACTCAGCTACTCAGGAGGCCGAGACAGGAGAATTTCTTGAACCTGGGAGGTGAAGGTTGTAGTGAGCTGAGATCATACCACAGCACTCCAGCTTGGGCAACAGAGTGAGACTCTGTCTCAAAATTTTTTGAGACGGAGTCTCGCTCTCTCGCCCAGGCTGGAAGTGCAGTGGCACGATTTCGGCTCACTGCAAGCTCCGCCTCCCGGGTTCTCACCATTCTCCTGCTCAGCTCCCGAGTAGCTGGGACTACAGGCACCTGCCACCACACCCAGCTTATCTTCTGTATTTTCAGTAGAGCGGCGGTTTCACCGTGTTAGCCAGGATGGTCTCGATCTCCTGACCTCATGATCCGCCCGCCTCAGCCTCCCAAAGTGCCTAGGATTACAGGTGTGAGCCACTGTCCCAGCTTTTCTTTTTCTTTTTTTTTTTTTTTTGAGACAGAGTCTCACTCTGTTGCCCAAGCTGGAGTGCTGTGGTATGATCTCAGCTCACTACAACCTTCACCTCCCAGGTTCCAAGAAATTCTCCTGTCTCGGCCTCCTGAGTAGCTGAGTTACAGGCACCTGCCATCACACCCAGCTAATTTTTTGTATTTGCAGTAGAGACGGGGCTTTGCAAGTTGGCCAGGCTGTCTGAAACTCTTGGCCTCAAATGATCCGTCCACCTCAGCCTCCCAAAGTGCTGGGATTATAGGCATGAGCCACCATGCCTGGCCAATTGGGTCCCTTTTCTGAGGGAAAATTAGAGGCATGGTGACACGCTAAAGTCAGCCCAAGACATGAAGCAAGCACTTAGAGCAGTGGCTGGGTCTGATTATTCTTTGGGGCTCCCAGAGCCCAGCACAGGGTCTGGCATGGGGAAGGGAGAGCCAACTGTCTGTGCAGCCAGTGGGTCAACATGGTGTCAGACTGCCTGGGTTCAAAATCCCAGCTGCCAATGTTCTGTTGCTGTGTGACTTTGGACAAGTCTCTTAACCTCTCTGAAGCCTCAGAGGTAGCTTTTTTTTTTTTTTTTTGAGACAGAGTCTTGCTCTGTTGCCCAGGCTGGAGTGCAGTGGCACGATTTCAGCTCACGGCAAACCTCTACCTCCAGTTTCAAGCGATTCTCCTGCCTCGGCCTCCCAAGTAGCTGGGATTACAGGCACCTGCCACCATGCATGGCTAATTTTTTTTGTATTTTTAGTAGAGATGGGGTTTATCATGCTGGCCAGACTGGTCTTGAACTCCCAGCCTCAAGTGATTACCGGCCTCAGCCTCCAAAGTGCTGCTTTAAGACTCTTCTCCAAGGAGCACAGCAGCCACAGGTGGCCTTCGGCTGGGGCCCCCGCTTGGCTGTCCTCACCTGCACCGTGACCACCAGGATCTTGACCACTGCAGCATCAGCTTGCAGGGCTTGCGGCCCTTGGCTCGAAACCTTGTCGCAGGGACTCATGAAAAAGTATTTGAGACGACGGCGAATGTCTTCCTCTTCCGGGGTGTCTGAGGGGGGCGGCGAAGGCCCCACCTGGGTCCCATACCGGGTTGGGGGTCAGAAGCCGCTCGGTCTCTGTGGGAATAGGAGAGGGTGCTGGGTGAGGGCTGGGCAACTCCCCTTTTCCCCTTTATCCAACCAGGAAGGCAGCACCCACCTATCTTTCATGTCCCCATGCTCCTGCCAAGGAAGATTCTGAGAGGTCTAAAGAAAACCAGAAAACCTGTAACGTTGTTCTGTATCTATGCAACAGTCTGCTCAGAGGTTATGAGCTGGGGTTCAGGGAGGTACAGGGCCGGGCTGATTTCCGGCCTCCTGCTCACAGCTCTCTGAGTCTCAGTTTCCTCATCTGCAAATGGGCCAGTAATCAGTCTCATGGGAACGCTAAGGACTGGATGCTTATGAAGCATTGATCACAGGCCGGTCCATGGTGAACATCAGAACGTTTCATCAATGTTCTCGTTACTGATCTGTCGGGAGAAGAATGAACTGCTCCCACCGGCTTTTCACTGGGCATCCAAGGCCCTGGGCTCATCCCAGCTCCAGGTTCCGGACATGAGCATAGAACTCAGCCTGTGTTCTAGTTTTGTCTGGACAGATACCCAAAAGATGGACCTCTGGTTCAATTATAACCTGCCCATCAGCTGACACTCTCAGAAGCCAAAGACCTGGAGAAGGGGTTAATTGACAATGTAAGTAATAATAATGAACACATTTGCTAAAGACTCATTTTATCTCCCTGAAAAGCACCAGCTCCTGGAAATCATGCAGCCCTAGCATCAAATCCTAACCTGCCACTTTCCAGTAGGTGGACTCCAAGGTACCTCCCTGGCCTCATCTCCTCATCTGAAGAGTGAAATTTTTATAAGGCTACCCCTTGGCTGGGCTCAGTGGCTCATCCTGTTATCCCAATGGCTTTGTGGGGCCAAGGTGGGATGATTGCTTTGAGCCAGAGTTGAGACCAGCCTCAGGTTATACAGCGAGACCTCCCTCTCTACAAAAAAAAAAAAAGAAATTTTAATAGTCAAGGTGTGGTGACGGCTCAATGCCCATAGTTAGTAGCTGGGACTCCTTTCTACCTGGAGGCTGAGTTGGGAGGTCACTTGAACCCAGGAGTTCAATGTTACAATGAGCTAGGATTATGCCACTGCACTAAGGCCGGGTAACACAAAAAAAAAGCTCCAAAAAAAAGTCCACCCTCCCCCTGAGCCCTGAGGTTGAGATCCTGGAGCTTGCTCTGAGATTTCAGTGAGACACAGCAGATAAAGACCTTCGCAAACACAAGTGTTCTAAATCCACTATTTTATTTTTTATCCCAGCCTAACTGTGAGACTAGGTTTCAGCAACTGCTGGAGTCTTAAACGGTCACAGTAGCCCAGAACTGTCCTTCACACCCCCATGGGGATGTGCCTTTCTGGGCCGGCCCCTGCCTAGCAAAGCTGTCCAGGATTAAATGTGTGCACTGTCAGACCTCCCATGCAGAGAGGACAAGTTCCCGGCCCCTCCCTTTGTAAGGGATGCTGCTGTGGTCGTTTCCACAAAGTCAGAAGACAGGGCCTGCCCTACAGAGCTGAGATTACATCTAACCGCACCCCCAGAGCTCCTACTAGCTGGGACACCGGGCACACCTATCAGGTAGGGGTCCCCCAGTAGCCTCCAGAAGGGGAAGCTAACACCAAGGGGCTCTTCCTCCTAGCCTCGCCCGGGAGGGGTGGGCATCAGAATTGGCTGAAGCCCGCGAATTTAAGAAGGGCTGCGCTTCCCCCGGTTTGGCAAAGCTAAAACTGAGTTATATCTCCTGGGGGCAATCCCTCCAGCTCTCCCCGCTTGAGTTTAGGTAAGCTGAGCAATTGTCTCCTGCGAATCAGGAGGGGAAGCCTGGGGAGTCTCACGCGCGGGTTGGAGAAGCTGGTGCCCGCTGTCTGAGTTCCAGCCGAAGTTGGAGAATCGGAACCTAGGCTCCCAGTGGAAATCCCAAGAACCTCGCCGCTCCAAAGGGGAGAAGCTGCGACGCCCGGCGCGAATCGCTGCTTGAGTTTTGGGAACCAGCAGAGCCTGGCTTCAGGAGGGAAGAATTCGGGAGAGGCTGGTGCCCGCCCACCCGCCGCCCAAGTTCTAGGAGCCGTCTGCCCATTTCTCCCACCGTGGGGAGGCTGAAAAGTCGCGCTGGAAGCTTAGAAAAAAAGAGACTGGGGCTCCGCCGCCCAGGTCGGAGAAAGCAGCCCGCCCCGCCTGACGTTCCGGGCCCCACGCGGTGCCGCCGCGGCCCCTCACCTGAGCCGCGCGGACCCGCCGGGTCTGCATCTTGGGCGGGCGCGCACGAAGCAGGCGGGTACCGCGGGGCAGCCTGGGGTCGATCACCCGCCGCTGTCACTGCCGACCTCGCTCCCTCGCGGCGCGGCTTCTTCAAACCCTACCGGCATCAGCTGATCTGGTGC